TGCCATGGCAATGGACAAACGAACAATTATATCATTGAGTGAAACATGTATTCTGAATGTCTCCGACATGCTTTAAGCATGTTCAGAAATGTGTAAGCACATCAAAAACACATGTCAGCCATGTGGTAGACATCTGGAAACTATTTGGCAATATGCCTCCTCTCCATTGACCGCCTTCCACAATACTACTCTCCTCTCTCCCCTGATGACGTCCGGAAGATATCCAGCCCCCCTCCGCGTACTGTTTTGCACGCCCGAATCCCTGGATTTGGATTGTCGCTTAGGCGTGGTTTCAAAATTATGTTCCCGCTGAAACGCTGGTCTCATTTTCGGGCTTGCGCTCGTTCCGAATCGTGTTCCCGCTGCAGCGCTGGCCTCATTTCTGCGCTTCCGCTCGTTCCGAATCGTGCTCCCGCTGCAGCGCTCGCCTTCTTTCCAAAGAAGCCCCAAAACCTAGAAAATGACCTCTCGAAAAACCGTCGGAAGTGATTACACATTCAGTGTCGATTCGTTGTGATTTGTTGGGCCGCAGAAGCCCCCTGCCCCCCACACTTTAGGGGGTGGTCGTTTTCAGGCAGTATCAACCAGAAGCCCCATTTCTGCTTTGAGAAGGCGATGTTGAAAGCAGAGACAGCGGGTGCCCTACATCAGCCCCGCCTTGCGTGGAGCTTTTCGGGGAGCCCGAGGACCTAGACATGGAACCACGATTCCAGACGGGCCCAGACATCTCAAAGACGATCCACTTACCCTCCAAGGAACCTGGTGCCATGCCATGACATGCTGTGCGGTGTCGTGTTCTGCGCCGCTGTGCGATGCCATGCTTTGCGTTGCTATGCTTTGTGATGCAATGCCTCACTACGCAATGCCACGCCATGCTATGGCATGCTACGCTCTGCCGTGCTGTTCTACGCGATCCCATGCCGTGCTCTACCGTGCATCGCGTACCCTCCCGAGGGATGGGAGGGTGGGGCGGGACGGCAAATATGACGCGAGCGCACCTAGCTGGTCCTCCTCCTCCTCCCCCCCCTCCTCCTCCGCCTCCTCCTCCTTCTCCTCCTCCTCCTCCTCCTCCTCCTCCTCCATCTTCCTCCTCCTCCTCTCCTCCTCCTCCTCCTCCTCCTCCTCCTCCTCCTCCCTCTCCCCCTTCTCCTCCTCCTCCTCCTCCTCCTCCTCCTCCTCCTCCTCCTCCTCCTCCTCCTCCTCCTTCCGTCCTCCTCACCCCCTCACCCGACATCTGCACCGCGGAAAGGCGGTCGTCCTCCAAGTCGAGGTCGACACTCGGCCCTCCGCCCCCTCCGCCGCTGAGGACGTGGTGGCCTCTGCTGTCCCTCGGCCCGCGCTGGCACTTCCGCGACCTGCTCCGAGTGCCCCTGGAGAGCTCTAGATGTACCTCGGCCTGCCTCGGCGGCGAGCGAAGGGGGGACATGAGAAGGTGAAGGCCTCCTCAGAAGGCAGCGGACTTCTCAGAAGCCCTCGCGCATTCTCAGAAATGTTTTGTGTTGTCCGGGAGGGATTGGGAAACTTCTCAGATGGCCGAGGGACTTCCGAGCCTTCTGAGAAGGCCTTCTCCTTCTCACTTCCCCCCTCGCTCGCCGCCGAATGTCTGGAGTTACCTCGGTGCACCTGGCTTGAATCCCGCAAGTCCCTCGAAGAAAGCAAAGTCGAACCGTTCCTGATTCCAGCCCCCCAGTTCCCCAAGAGGAATATGGCGCCCCACCCCTAGAGGAAAGAGGGAGGGAAGACGGAGGACGGGGAGGGCATGGGGAGGATGGGCCAGATCATCCAACGCCGCGCGCCGCGCCCCGCGATGCGCGGCTATCATCTTCGCGCCCCCGCGCCGCCGCCCTCGAGAAAGACGACTCTCCAACCTGGGCCGCGATGCGCGAAGCACGATGCTCGCGCACCTGGAAGCGAGGTGACCCAGGAAGCCCGGAGACTTCAATCCCACACTTTATGGGACTTTCGATCGGCCAAGGGATTGTGGGCGGGGGGTCCATGGAGGGCCCTGGGAGCCTGAAAGCTGAGAGCAACTTCAGGGCCCGTATCTTCCGAGACCCCTTCTCCTCATGACTACCACTGGCCCCAGGGTAACACATCGTCCCCGCCGACCTGTCCCCGTGCGCAGTCTGACAGGAACTTCGAAGCGGATCCAGCCACGGCGACGGAGGAGACTCCCAAGAGTCCAGACAAGGAGACCACGCCCAGGAACCTCGAAGCCCTCGAAGTCCTCGAACGCCGCTCCTCGAATCTGTCCAGGACCCGTCTTCTCCCGAGCCCGTCTTCGTCGTGCTGATCTGAGGCGCGCGCCTCGTCGCCGTACCGGAACCGCACCATATCGCCCACGGCAACGGGCGGCGGCATGGCCTCGCCCTTGCTGTCAACGTTGCCAGGGCCGACGGCAACCACCTGCGCCGCGCCAGGAGGCTTCCGTACACCCAGACCTTCCCTGAGATACCGGCGCCGCATGCTTGTTCGCACAGGCCGTTGTCGCACGGCTCGGGACCCTGGGGCCTTCGCGGGTCGGTCCAGCTCGAGAGATGGAGCATGAAGATGAGATGGAGCTCTCCGATGCTGAAGTTTTTGTCGCGGCGTGGGATCTCGGGGTCTGGCGTCCAACGGTCTGGCTTTCCAACTTTGGGCCTCTGCTGGAGAGCGCTGTCCCACTTTTCGCGATAGCAGCCATTACCGGCCCGGGCCGTGCCCCCCCCCGTCACGATTCGAGCTGACCTCCGAACTGGCTTTGGTGATTCATGCACATTCGCAGACGGCGCCGGCGCGAAACGTGACGTTACCGGCTCCGCCCCCCCCCCGTGACGCCCGACATCGCCCAGGGATCAACAGAGCGCTTTCCTGCTGGCGCAGTTCTGGCGCAGAAGCCGCCCTACCCAATCACGAGCGGCGAACACATCCGTATCCGCGCCGTTCTGGCCTGGATTCCGAGGCACGATTATGGGCCTGTTTTCCACCACCACCACCACCAAAAGTTGGAGCGGGGAAGGAGGACGATGACGAGGAGGAGGAGGACAGAGATGAGGAGGAGGAGGAGGTGGAGGAGGACCCCCTCCCCCTCCAACTTATGGTGGTGGTGGTGGTGGAAAAAAGGCCCATCACACGATCCCGCGGATACGTGGCCGCACGGACGGACTCCGCGAGGGGCGCCCGCGAGCCCGCGATGCCGCGGATGCTGATATGTCCTTCGCCCACGGCCATCGCCGTCAACAAGAACGACCTGGGGAAATCTGGGTACCGATACCGCTGCGCCCCAGACCTCTCCCAGGGTGCGCTCTGACCAGAATCTCGAGGCGAATCCAGCAGTGGCGACGCGGGCCTCCCAGCGAGCCCCCAAAAAGGCGAAAACGAGGCGTTATGGGTACCTTCCTCTCCTCTGACGGCCCGCGGCGAAGCACTGGGTCCCGAGGTGGGGTACGGTGGGACCGAGGACAGAACAACGTCCTTCAACACGTGACCCTCGGCCAGCCGAAACACCCCCAAAACCGTAAGATCAACCATGAGATCACTAGAGGGTAACCTCCCACAGGATGTGCAAGAACATGAAAAAAACACGAAGAACATGAGGGTACCCTCCCCGGGTCGACCTCGATCTTGTGCCTCGGCCCGGCCGTCTTCAGAGTGCGGCCGCCCACGTCCTGACGACGGGCACACAGGCGGAGACGCGGGCGGGCCAACCCGAGGGCCGAGCGCTCGTGCCGCCACTCCGCAGGCAGGGAGTGCAGACTGCACCCCAATCGGTGGCGCGGGCCATTCCCCTGCAGTCAGCGCGCTGCGGCCCGTGGCCGTGGCATCGGCGTCGTGGCCACCGGCGTCGCCATGGGGATATGACTCACTCGAGGCGACATCGGGCGCTGCAGTCAACCAGTACAATAACGACGCAACTTAAGGATGTAAGGGCCTTGGAGGGCCCTGTCGGAACTTTGCTGGCGGGGCGCGGCCAGCGAAAGCGGCCGAGGATGGGCCGAAGGGGAAGGATGCAAGGGGCAACCTTGGAAAATTGCTCACACTTACTGCGCGGGTTGACTGTACACCCCAATTAGCGGTCTGGACAACTTCGTACAGTCAACGCGCTGCCATTAGGAACGCTAAAGAAGGAACGAAGCCCCTTGTTGGAATCAACAGTGCCTGGGTGAAAGAGGAGGGCTAGGAAAGCAACCACATAATGACTGAAGGAACATCGAGCCCCTTCCGAACTTTAACTGTTCATTATTTCAGCGACTTGAATGTACACCAAATCAGTTGGAGTTGGCAACTCCCTAATTCAACTTCGTGGGTGTCAGAAGTGGTGCGCGGGATGAGTTTCCTAAGGGCGGATGTTATGATTATGCTGCGAGCGGTGATGCCTGTGGCCAGATTTGATATTTCAATGCGTAGAGCGTGCCCGCTTTGAAAAATCGTGGTTGAGGTTTCCGTTTCAGGGTCCGTTTGGCAAGCAGACGACACAAAAAACCCACCACGTCTCACAGATGGGCTGGAAACCTCGTTCCCAATCCTTTGCCGATCGACGGTCCAGTCAACGTGTGCTCGAGTGAAAGTGTGACTCTCTGAACTCTATCGTTAGGTCGGCATCAGGCGGATTTTGCAGGAGCAATAATACATAATCATAAGATTACTAAAAAATTACCAAAAATAGTTGAAACATCGTCCCCAGACTATTTTGACTTTTTCAAGATTCCGCCTGTAGAGGGGCATGCCCGACTTAACTCTATCGGGTCACCGATACGTGCGCTGTTCGGAAAACTGTTGGAACACGATCGAACTTAGCCGCCCCCATGCGCAACATGCAATCCGTAGCGTGTTGACACGGAGATTGAGCATGCACGCTTGGAGCGATAAATTCGCCCAAATGTGGGCCCACACGCTGAGTCAAGACGCAACGTGTTGGCACGGACGTTTTGAACACGGCACGCGTTTCAACACAAGGGTGCCAAGGCAGCTAAAAGCTATCGAGACACCGTCGGAACACGATTGGGGCCCTGGCTTAGTTGTTCTTAGAAGCTCTGTGTTGTTTCTCCATTTGCAACGTTTCGCCTTGCGGTCGACCAAAACAAAAAAGAAAAAGAGTAACCGCAAACCGATCAAAGACGACACCCGCTGGGCCCACGACAGAAATCGGCAACCCAAAAGAGCTCTGCCGTCACGCCGCTGCGAAAACATCTCAAAGACGATCCCAGACCCGATGCGGGCACGCCGTCGAACGCTATCGGCACACCAACGCCGGGAGCAGAATGACTGACGAGGCTCACGCGAACTGCCTCCGATCGGGGCAGGGGCGGGGCCGACGGCCTCCCTCCGCCCCCCCCCCCGTCGAAAGGAGGAGCCCCCTCCGCTCTGTAAGGCGGGGAGCGGGAGGGAGGGAGGGAGAAGAGGAGGAGGAGGAGGAGGAGGCCCGGCCCGACTCTCTTCGAGACCGTGACGGGGCACTGCTATCCGAGCAGGGGGGGCGAGGACGAGGATGAGCAGGAGGAGGCGGAGGTGCAGGCCGAGGAGGAGGAGGAGGAGGAGAGGAGGAGCAGGATGACGACGACGACGACGGTGATGCTGATGATGATGATGATGATGATGATGATGATGATGGTAACAATGATGGTGATGATGATGATGATGCTGATGATGATGATGGTAACAGTGATGGTGATGGTGATGATGATGATGATGATGATGCTGCTGCTGCTGCTGATGATGATGATGATGATGATGATGATGATGGTGATGGTAAAGGTGATGATGATGATGTCGTTGTTGATGATGATGCTGATTACGATGATGCTGATGATGATGACGATGATGGTGATGGTGATGGTGATGATGATGATGATGACGATGACGACGAGGAGGAGGAGGACGAGGAGGAGGAGGGAGGGGGCCAGGCCCTGCCCTGGCCCCGATCGGCCGCTGCCGGGGTGCGGATGGGGCCGGCGGCCTCCCCGACTGTGCTGGTCTTCTCCACGGCCGCCTTCGCCAGGAAGAGGCCGCCGGCCGTCTGCTCCTCTGAGGGGGCCCAGGGCACACAAACACACACACACACACACACACACACATCACACACACACACACACACACATACACGCGCACACACAAACACACACACACACACCAGCATGCCCCATACATGTTTATGTTTTTTAATGGATGTTCGTCTTCCCCTCCACTTCCCACGGTTTCCTTGGAATCTACGCTTGTGTGCATCTGTGCCTGTTTCTCCCTCCTGAGCTTCGGGGACTGGGCAGGACGAGGTCGGGGTTCCTACAGGTGCCCCGGGCCCGAGGTGCCCTCGGCTTTTCGCTCCATCTTGAAACCCCAGGTGCCCCAGGAGGGCCTCGCGAGGGGTGCTTTGGACTCCAGAGCTACAACTCTGGAGCAGGGCTCGAGCTGAACACTGTTTCAATTGTTCCTAGTGTGCTTGTTTTCCCTCGCTCTGTTTTCGTTCCGCCTTTGAGGCAAGAGGAGCTCACGGCAGAAACAGTTCACGAATTGCCAAAACACTGGTTAGCTCGAGCCCTGGGGCCCCCTGAGGGGTGATCTGGAGACCCCGGGAGCCTCCATGGATATCCTTGGGACACCTTGGGCCAAGTGAGGCGCACAAAGACATACCAATACTATGCGTCCTCCTCGGAAGCATGCGTCCAACCAGGGGTACGGCCAGAAACCGCCCGCCACGGTCAACCGATGGGGCAAACCAGTCGATCAGTCGATCCGTCTCGTCGCCTGATCGGCTCGTCGGCCGCTCATCGGCTGATCGGCTGATCGGCCAACTCGAGGAATGGCCCAGGATAGCAGTCTCGGAGATAAGGCCGAGATGTTCGGGGGGGCCATGTCTCGGCAAAAGCTGAGGCGTCAGATGCCTGGCTCCCCCCCAATTATCCGTCGTCTCACCATGTCTCTTCAACTTCCCTCTCCATCCCCTGTCCTTGCCCTCGAGCAGCCTGACCAAAACCTTGCCCGTCGGCATCGACACGCCTTCCAACGTCGGTTCCGCGCCGTCATACATAAGGAGGACCTCGCTCTCCTACAGGGGCGAGAGGGATGGTGAGGAGGAAGCGGAGGAGGAGGACGTGAGGATGACGGTCTGACGAGGGGGCAGGAGGAGGAAAATGAAGAGGAGGAGGAGGAGAAGGAGGAGGAGGGTGGAGGACAACGGCAAGGAGGGGACGAGAAGGAGGACGAGGAGGGGGATGAGGCTGCGAGGTGGGGTGTCAGGAGGGGGCCGAAGACGAGGACGGGTGGGAACAGGAAGACGAGGGCGGCGGGGAGGCGGAACAAACACCGCAGAGCCGCGCGCGCCGCACCTCCCCCTCGGGTTCCGTCATTCCCTCCTCGCCTCCTGCTGCTGGTCCTGCGTTTCCTGCTGCTCCTCCTGCCCCCCCCCCTCCACGAAACTTTCGCTTTGACAGACCCCCGCGTTCCTCCCTCCCCCACGGCCTCTCCGTACGAGTGCCCCGAGCAATTTGTGGAGCATTATGAGGTGGCCGTCCTACAAGAGACGGAGGCGGCAATTGCCTCCTCTTCCCCCTTCCTGCCCTGACGCCTGAGCTCTTGGCTCAGTTCCCGGCTCGGCGCGAGGCTGCACGATTCCGTCGTGCTGTACGCATGGCCATCCCAGAGGAAGAAAGGGCTCCTTGCGTGCGATCAAGGATGAGGAGTGCAGGCTCATTCACATTCAGATTCGGTTTCGGACTCCTCACACTCACATCAACCTCCACATCCACACTCACATCCCCGTCTGCTCCGTCCCCATCCACACTCACATCCCCCACCTCCGCCACTTTTCCCCTCCGCCTCCTAATTTTATGGTTCCTCTTTCCCCTCTACGCCTCGCCCGGTCCCCAACCTACTCCTGCACCGCATCCGTCCGGTTTCCCCCTCACCGCTGGCTGCCGTGCCCTCACGCGTGTCCACTGGCAGTGCGCCGCTAAGTTTCGGACCGTAGCCAAGCCTTGTTACACCGAGCGCTTTCGTTTGACCATGTCGACCGATTCATGAGCGCAACGCAGGTAAACTTCAAAATGAGTGTTGTCGCCTCAGCGCCACGCCCATTCGGCTCACACGTACATGCCCAACAATTACACGAACAGAAATGTCAATTATTTCCCGGATGTGGCCTTCGCGGTCGCCCAATCAATCTCGTCTAAAAAGTATCAACTACACGGATGGAGTGCAGGTGGTTTTCAACATGGGGCTTTCGCTTGGGACAGTCCGAACAATCACACTTATGAAGCGACACTTCCTGTTTCAAGGTAAGCCTTTCGCCTGACACTTCGCACGGCTGCGCGACCAACAGTATCAGAGAGTAAACCAGATGTGCGGATGCAGGGCGGCAACTTCTACATTAAAGGCGGGACCGCTGCTTGGCAACTGGATGGACACACCTTGTCGATGTCATAAAAAATGCTGACGATAGGGAAGGCAATTTGCATCACAACGGAATTTCCGGCTGGATCGCGGGCCCCGAGGGAACTCGTCTTTCAAGTGGGGGTCGCTTCCAGGTGAAAAACAATTCTTGCAGAGGACTCGGGATGGGTGGGAGTACTGCAGCCTCGTTGATACATGTTGGGCTTACTCTGGTCCTCCTCCTCCTCCTCCTCCTCCTACTCCTCCTCCTCCTCCTCCTCCTCCTCCTCCTCCTCCTCCTCCTCCTCCTCCTCCTCCTCCTCCTCCTCCTCCTCCTCCTCTCTCTTCTCTTCCCTCCGCCCGGAGAAGGACGCTGGGGCCAGCGCCTGAGGCGCTCACCCCAAGAAGAAACCCCCAAGAGGCAGGCCCGACAGAGGAGCAGGTGCCCCAGCACGTGCCCTATCCTTGAGGGGCCCATCGCGCAAGTGTGCAACACTGTAAGGGGCCTCCTCCTCTTCCACCTACTTCCCCGTTCCCATTCCCCACCTCAGGACAGCATCATCCTGCACGGTCCTTGATGATGGCATGCTCAGCTCCACCGAACTCAACCTTGTCAGACCCTGCGTACCTTGCCAGACCGACAGAGAGGGCGGGAGCAAGAGACTTCGGAGAGCACACCGCTGCGCGGCCATCCAACAACAGACGGGAGGCAATACGCACACGAAAGAGACACTCGGGGGGGCACCTAGGCAGGAGAGAGAAAGGAGAGAGAGAGAGGTATAGAGAGAGGAGCAACAATAAGAGAGAAAGACTTAGAGAAAGAGAGGAGAGAGGAGAGAGAGAGAGAGAGAGTGAGAGAAACACATAACATATGGTAATATAAGAAGAGAAAGGGAGAGAGAGAGAGAGGGAGAGAGAGAGAAAGAGGCAGAGAGAGAGAGAATGAGAGAGAGAAGGAAAGAGAGAGAGAGAACGAGAGAAATATAATGATACACACACATCTTCATATGGAGAGAAAGAGGGGAATAGAGACAATGAACAAATCCACCGACCATGTCGGCGTGTGGAATGGGTTGTTCGTCGTGGATGTTGTCCTCGTGCGTACTCGTCGTCTTCTTTTCTCGGTCCGTCGCCGCTCCCCTCCTCTTTCCCTGGACCCTCGTCCTTCAGCGCGCCAGCCAAAGTGAAATGAAGCAACCCAGCCAAAGCGAAATTAAGAACATGTTATTGAATCGAAGGGAAGCCCCTTCCCTTTGATCCCTTCCCCGCCAGGGGGGCGGGGAGGGTCCCGGGGGGGGTCCCGGATCAGAATACCATCCCCCGTTTGCGGCTATTTCAGAGGGGCCCTCTGTACACCCTGCGAAATGCTTAAGAAATCATAGGTTAAGAAATTCATAGTCTCAGAATTTCAATAAAACCCAGAATTTCTATCAAAATCTTAGGAATTCAATTGAAACACTAAGAATAATCGAGACTCTGGCCGAAAATGTAAGTTTTCTTGAGCATCGCCTGAGGTGTAGATGCGCTGCAAGAGGGGGGGTCGCCAATCCGCAAGAGTGCCCCCCAGATGGACCAAGCCCCACAAGACAGCCCAACAAGCCAGCCCAAGAACGCCCAAGGACGGCCAGAGGGGGCCCCCAGACGGGTCCGGGAGAGAATCCCAGCGGGGACGCCGCCCAGACACGTTTCCCCCTCGAGCTCCCCCGAAACCATGAAAAGCTGCTTCTAACCAAAAGACCCCAGAATGCCAATGCCACAACGCCTCCTGCTCCTCCTCCTCCTCTTCCTCCTCCTCTTCTTCTTCCTCTTCTTCTTCTTCTTATTCTTTCTCCTCCTCCTCCTCCTCCTCCTCCTCCTCCTCCTCCTCCTCCCCACCCCCTGCTCCCCCCCGTCCTGTTCCTCCTCTGCCTCCTCTTCGTGCTCCTCCTCTGCCTCCTCTTCGTTCTCCTCCTCATCCTCCTCATCCTTCCCCCCCTCCGCCTCCCTCATCCGCCTCCTCCACCCTTCCTCTTCCCCCCCCCACATCTCCTCCTCCGCCTCCTACCCCCCCCCCCGCTCGCTCATTGTCATGTTCGTCGTCTTCATGGTCGGCTGCACTGGCCGCAAGGCCTTCGCAATATATATATATATATGTATAATGCCGTGATGGAGCAACACAACGAGTCTAGCACGAGAACCCGGACTCCTGGCGAGACGCAAAATGGCCTCACTCGCCAACACTGGAAACTTCACTTGCCCCCATATCGAGGCACATCTTGTGCCCCTTGACGAATTCGAATCATTTCAAAGGGATGATTCATCGAGAAGGAAGGTTCGCATATTGCCCGGGTATGCCAACCTCGGAACAAACAAAATGAGAGTACACGGTCAGACGCCATAGAAAGACGAAGCCCCATCGCAGCCACATGGAATATCCAGAATGCCAACGGAATTGCCACGGTGGTGGGCCACGCCACGACAACGCAGCAAAGGCTCAACGCCTACAGGTCGACCTGAGCCTCACGTTGATACATGTTTCGTTCGCGAACTACTCCCAATCTACATACATTGAGCTGCACCTGGCACGAGGAATCCACACCGACCGTTGCAACTCGACTGACTGTATGAGGTAACAACTCCTGGGAACTGTTTTGGCCCCACTGAATTAAACTGGCCCCGGCTGGACCTGAGCCGTCCTCCTCCACCTCGGCCGTGCTCCCACACAACGCCTCTTGAGTACTCGGACGGCTCTAGTAACGACCCAAGGCGACGGCCGACAACTTCGATCACCCTCACCAACGTCACACTCCTTCTTCTTCTTCGGGGAGGAGAGGAGGAACGAGAGAGAGAGGGGAGAGGGGGACGCAGGACGGGGCGGAGGAGAGGGGGGCGACGCACTCCCCTAGGCAGTCAGGCATCTCGGCCCTGCAGCAGGGGAGCGGCCGGGAGCCCAAAGCCAGCCACGAGCACGCGCATGCATGCATCAGATCACGACCCCTGAGGTGCGTGGGTGGCAGACGTCTCTTCACCCTGCAAGGATGGTGAAGGAAGGCGAAGAGGAGCAATGCTGACATTTCCTCTAGCATTTGCATCGTCAACAACCAATTCCGTTGCTCTACAAATCCCCAGAAATAGGATCGGAACGCCACCCCAATATTGACAAAACTGCACCAACATGCTGTCATCATCATACCTAATTGTCTTAACTTGACCAGAGGGGGGGACCAGCGAGGGTGAGTAACGAATGGAGGGAGAGACGGAGGGGGGCCACAGCGGGGGGGACGGGAGGGAGATGGGAGGCGGAGAAGAAAGAAGCGAAGGCATGAGAAGATGGAGGAGAGGACCGGGGAGAGGGGGAGGGACGTCAGGAACGGAGAGAGGGAGGAGAGTGGAGGGAGGAAAAGGAGGGAGAAGACAATGGTGACTGCATCAACCCCCTTCCTCAGCCCATCCATATCCTCTCTCTGGTGATCCCGCGCAGGTCGCCAGTGGTCTCCAGAGGCTAAAACCACGTAGTGGCCCGAAACGTCCATAAAACGTGACCCTCGATCCTCGAAGCTCCTCCGCCGCCAATTTGCTCAGCAGGAACAGCCGACAGTATCCTGGAGCCTGCAGTGGCCTGAGAAAGATGCAGGCATCGGAAAGCACGAGTAACTATACCACGGCGTAGAAGGATGCTGGTGTTCTCCCAGGAACAGTCCACCAATCCCCTCAGACCGCATCAACGACCAACACGCCCGTACGCACGACGGCGACCGTGAGCTCACTGCACAGCCTACACGAAGAGTGCACCCAGCAACGTCCACAAACCCTCGATCCTCGGCGCTCCAGGCCTCCTCGGGGGGCACCTGCGAGACGGAGGAACCAGATGCCTCGCGCGAGTCGGCGCGGCGGCATGACGCGGTGGCCCACGAGGGGGCCGCCAGCGCGGAGCGGCGTGGAAGAGAAGGGCGCCCACGCGAGGCCTCCCGCGGGCAGCTTGCGCGCGTGGGCCTGCCGAGCCGCCCCCGCGTCTCCTCATCGCTCGGCTGGGCGGGGCGCCTGCTGTACATCACCTTGACCCCGGGCTTGACCGACATGGGCTGCATCACGCCCGAGTCCGGATCGGCCTCGCCAGGGCCCACGGCCACGACCTCGGGGGCGGAGCGGGATGAGGAGGAAGATCTACACCTTAGGCGATGCTTAAGAAAACTCAAGTTTTCGGCCAGAGTCTCGATTGTTCTTAACGTTTCAATGTAAATCTTAAGATTTTAATGGAAATGTTGGGCTTTTATTCAAGTTCTGAGACTCTGAATTTCTTAACCCATGATTTCTTAAGCATTTCGCAGGGTGTAGGATCGTATTACTTTTGGGCGTTTCACCCTTTTGTGTGCCTTCGAGAAAGCTCTCGCCCCCCCACTGCTAGACCCCCCTTGTGAAAACGGAAGCGTGCTCCACCACCAGGGAATCAGAACGTCCGTTGCCCTGTGGGAAGGGGGGGGGCGAGGGGGGGCGAGAGGGGGACACGGTAACGAGGGAGGGGGCGGGGGGGCGGCAGGGGCTGTGGCGGCGGCGTCCATGCAAATTGGACGCGCGGCATCGACCGCGACCGCGGCGAGGAACGGCGAGGACGACGCCGTCGAAGCGCCTCTGGAAACCATCGGGGGTCTCCCTGGAGGCCCCCTGCCGGCAGTCGGCCTGCAAGCCTTCGAATGTTCAGGATGATGCCACAAAATCACCGCGCATTGCGCAGCAAAGCGGCGGGTCAATAGCGCAGTAGCCTTTGAACGACACAACGTATCCGTGAGCACCGCAACTGGCCTGCGTCAGAACGTGCTTGTTAACACCGCAGCGACAGCTTACCTCGCCACACGCGTGTGCCACCATTGTGCCAAGGCAGTGGGGGGGGGGAACGCGCGGACACACTCCAACCAGTGTGTGAAATTCCGTACCTCGGACGCCAAGAAGGAATGCAATACCCTTTGGACGTCCATGTCCGAACGTTTTCTACGGCATCAGGCCAATCAACTCGGAGATCTTGTACGACCACCGAGGCCAGGACGCAAGTGCAACCTTGATGAACTATGGCGAAACGCTCAACCATGTTTGAGCCTTTGGAAGTTTCTGGGGGCCTGAAGGGCAACTCCAGGGGATCGGAATTGTCGTCGTCGCCGTCGTGATCGTCATTCCTCCTCCTCCTCCTCCTCCTCCTCCTCCTCCTCCTCCTCCTCCCCCTGTTCCTCCCCCTCTCCCTCATCCAGCCTCGTCCTTGTCCTCTCGTCTCTGCCACAATATCCTCATGATGCTGGAAAGCCATGTGCGGAGAAGAGGGCACATACATCCGCCCGCCCTCGTCGCAAAACGCAACGATGCCACGAATACCTGATTTCGGTGACGTACCAACTGGATTGCGCAATACCCTGCCAACACCACAGCGTAGCGATGCCGCGGCATGTGGCAAGCGCCATACCATGCCTGCGAACTCCTCCTCCTGCTCCTCCTGCTCCTCCTCATGTTCCTCCTTCACTCCTCCATCCACTTCCTCCTCCACCCCTTTTCTCCGGATACTCCTCCCCCTTGAGCTCAAATGCTGGTCTACGCCCGACCTCCTCGTCCTCCTCCCTGCGTCCCCTTCTAACCAATCTCGAAGTTATCCCTAACCCTAAGATTGACAAGCCAAACGGCGACGACAGTCTCAGGGATGCGTACTTGGAAACGAAAGTAATCCTTACGATCAGCACCGAGATGAGGTGATGCCACTTGTAGGGATATGCATATGCTTCAGGCTGGTAGCCTTACCCCTCCTCCCTCGCGCTGGGGCTGCGCAGCAGGGTTGTCCTCTCTCGCCGCGCCGCTCAGCGCTGCAGCCCCGCCCGCACGACGGGCACGAGAGTGAGGGCCTCCCTCCTGACGCGAGCCCTGGAAAGGCGGGCACGTCTGACCTGCAGCTGCCTGATCCCGCCTCCCTCCCTCCTCACCCCGTTCCCCCCCCCCCCCCTTGCCTCCTCCCCCTCCCCCCCCTCCTCTCCCCTCCTCCCCCCCCCCTCCCTCCCCCCCTATTGCCTCCCCCCCTTTGCCTCCCCCCCCTCGCGCGACGGCGACACGCGCGTCGCCGCGGAGGCGCCGCGAGCGCGGCAGCTCGACGGGACGGCACCGCGGGCAGCCCCGCGGAGCACCGCGCGCGGCGGGCGAGAGCGGCGAGCGGCACGCCGCCGCGGCAGCGGAAGGGCCGGGGCACGGCGAGGAGGCCACGGGCACGGTGCAGACGGACCCAGGACGAGGCCACGCTCACTCGTCGGGGCCCACCAGACGGAGGGGGGGGGGGGGCTGAAGGGGGGGGGGGGCACGGGTTCGACGCGCTGGTGCACCGAGCTGCTGCCGCAGGCAGACGCCCCCCGCATGGCCCCACCTGTCGGCAACTGTCGGGAGCTGCTGGCGGCTGGGGGGTATCTGTTTTGGGCGGTTCGGTGCAAAAGCCGATCGAACTCTCTCTCTCTCTCTCTCTCTCTCCCTTTCCCACACACACACACACTCTGGGGTACACCCTCCCTTTGCGGGATCCCGAATTCGGGTGAGGATGAATCGATAATCTCTGTTATCGGGCGGCTCTGGAGAATGTCTCTGGCGCCGCGGCCTCCTCAACGCGTTCCAGAACGCTCTGAGAGCGTTCTGGAACGCTATGGGACGGATTTACATATCCTTGTCCTTGCCCCGGGCGATACGACGAGGGTACCGAGCAGAAGAACCCCCCGCTGACTTGACCTTTTCGGGGCGTCCAGGAGGGGGCGTCCAAGAGGGGGCTGGGGCGCAACTCGGGGCCCGAGGCATGCGCGCGGACCGGGGGGGGCAGAAAGTTTTGAGACAAGAACAGGGGCCATGCAAGCTGGGGAGCTACCATGGCCCCGGCCACGATGCCCACCCCTCCTAGTCGTCACCCCCCACTTGGCCGCCCCCGACCTCTGCTCCCCGAGTCCGATCCCGCTCCGCCAGTCAGTTAGGTGGCGACATCCAAGCCCTACCCCCACCGACCATCGATCCTCCTGCATCCATGGGCGGATCCTCCTGCATCCATGGGCGGCGGGGGTAGGGTCCGGAATTCGCCACGTGTTCGAGGAACTCCGAAGCCCCTGGCCCCGCCGCCCATCGCATTGCCTGAACCGCTGAGCGGCGAGGGCAGGGTTCGGATTCCGCCAACGGGTCTGTCCCCCCTGCGCCCTCGCCCGCAGCCGCGCCCCTCGGCCCGCCGAAGCGGACGCCTGGGCCGAACGGCGTCGCCCGCGAGCCGGCGAGGCGGGCGGCCAGGCTGCGCAGGGCTGCCGCTCCGAGGCCGTCGTGGCCCAGCGGCCGGGGGGCTCTCCGGACGCAGGGCCCCCGACATGCGGCACGGGTGCCCCGCGGTGGCGTGGCTCGGGCTCATCATGCACGGAGGCGTCCTCGTCGCCATGAGCCCGGACAACACTCCAGGAATGTGCTTTTTGTATTTGTCTCTTCTCTTTGCTTGGATCCGCATATGGACGATCTCTCACACTCTAGGTGGCAAACCCATTCCCTCTTCGGAGGGTGCTCCTGTTTTCGGGCCCTTCCTGGTTTCTTCTTGGGAGGGCGGGAGCCTCGTACTACGGCTCAGGAGGCATGTGGGATGGATGGGCGTGTCGCCCGCGACACGCCTGCGCTGAACCTGGCTGTGTCGATCCTGGGCCCGGGACTGGGGCATGCGAGCTCACTCCGCCCGCCCACACATCCCTTCCTGATCCCTCCGTTCCCCCCTCTCCCTTCCCACATACCCCTCCCCATCTCGCCCTGGTCTCCCGTCATCCCAATCCTTCCATCCCTCCCTCCTCCCGTCCTCCACGCTCCCCCCTGACCTTCTACTCCACTCTCCTTTCCCTCCTCCTCCTCCTCCTCCTCCTCCTCCTCCTCCTCCTCCTCCTCCTCCTCCTCCTCCTCCTCCTCCTCCTCCTCTCCTCCTCCTCCTCCTCCTCCTCCTCCTCCTCCTCCCTCCTCCTCCTCCTCCTCCTCCTCCCTCCTCCTCCTCCTCCTCCTCCTCCTCCTCCTCCTCCTCCTCCTCCTCCTCCTCCTCCTCCTCCTCCTCCTCCTCCTCCTCCTCCTCCCTCCTCCTCCTCCTCCTCCTCCTCCTCCTCCTCCTCCTCCCCCTCCTCCTCCTCCTCCCCCTCCCCTCCCCCTCCTCCTCCCTCCTTTTTTTCTCCTCCTCCTCCTCTTCCTTCACCTCCCCGTCCTCCTCAATCTTCCTCCGTGGCTAATTTGGCCTGTGGGGCTGTTCACCCTCCAGGCAGAAGGATTGCTCTGATCCTCCCCAGAGCCCAACGTTTCGTTTTTTCCGCACCGCAGGCTGGCTCTGCACCCGCGCGATGAGCCGCATTTGCGGGCCTGGCTGTGCCTGGGATTGTGCTCCACTCTCCAAGCGGTGGCCCAAGTGACCCCGCGCGCCCTCTCTGCCCACCACTACCCACCCTGTATCGATCCTCCTCCGTCCCCTATCCTCCTCCATGCTCATTGTTTTTCTCCACCTCTTTCTGCTCCTATTCCCCGTCCGTCTCCCACCTGAACCAATCCTCCTCGACCTCGACCTCGTCCTTGTCCTCCTCCGCCCCCTACCACCTCCTCATCCATCCTCATTGCCCTCCCCCTCCATCCCTCCCTCCTGCTCCTCCTTCTCCCACCCTCCCCCTCCGACGTGCAAGAAAAAAACAAACGACCGACCGACAGATCGATCGAGACAACGACGATGCAGACGACGACCAACAGCGCGCCGTGCCTCGCCAGCCTTCGGAGACTCCTTCTTGGGCAACAGGATCCCGCCCTTCGTGATCTCCTCTGGCTCGTCCGAGCGCACCTGCCGCACTCTTCCGTGGGGCGGTGGAAGAGAGGCTAAATTGGAGGGAAAAGAGGGGGGAGGTGATCGATCATCGAGGTTGAGGGCCTCCAGGGACGCGGGGACAGTGGGGAAGGGCCAGACGGAGAACGGAGAGGGAAGCTGGGGAAGCAGGCGAAGAGAGGGGGAATGGAAAGAGAGAGGGGGGGGGGGTCAAAGCGGACAAGGGGGACGCTGCGCCCAACCACGCCAACACAACAACACAGGCCACCTCCAGATCCTGCTGATGCTCCACCAGAAAAGAGACAAGCGAAGATGACAACACTCACAACTAGTATATAACAATGCAAAGCAAGACCGCGCACCATCACATGAAACAAAACCCTCACAACTCATCGAATCAGGGTCCTAAGACCAGCTCCGCTCCAGAGCTGGGATGTTTAGATTCGGCTGTTCGCGGCTTGACCATCTCTCCCACACATCACAAATACCGACACCTACATCGAATAAGGGCGATGCCCTCCCCGTCATTGTAAACAATAGGTATCGGGCGTTTCAGAGTACCGCGCAGTGGCTCTCCCGAGGTACACTTGATACTCTGGGCTCCCTGACGCTTGTCAGGACAGATCCTGCCAAGCCACGCGAAGACCTCCAAATTGTAACACACAACCAAAACCTCCCCTCCCACTGTGAGTGGCGAGCAGGTCCAGGGGGGATGGGGGGGTTTGTTTGGGGCAGGTGGAGGATTCAGACTGATACGGAGCGCAAAACAAATCAAGCTTGGGGCAGAACGGCATGAAACCTGCCGCTGGCAAGCACGCGAATAATGATACTGAAGACTCTCGCGAGACTCTCTCTTGCTCAGCAGTGGGCGCCTCAGAGTGGCGCAAGAAGGACTGGCGGCCTGACGAGCAACAATGTCGGCTAGATAATTTCTGTGCTCCCAAGAATCCTCATCATCGGGGGAGCCAAGCCAATCATGATGCGGCTCCTCTTTCGAGCGTTTGGAGCAAGAGCCGGACAAAAAGGAGAGGCACTCTGTTAACCTGTACAATCGAAGTTCTAAAACTGCGCATGCAACGTTCACGGAGCCGAAACAAACTGGGCTGCCTCCTCCCCTGCACTGGGCTGCAAAGACACACGCGGCAGCCTGTGGCGCCCGGGGGGGAGGCGGGGGGAAACACCAGGAGGGACCCCGAAACGATGGTTCGGCGAACCACAGGCATGAACCAAGCTTACCGAGCACCCCGCCCTGGAGAGCTCAGGGAAATTCCAACTGCAGGGCTCATGAACAAACAGAAAAAGCCGGGAGGAGGCAACGATGGCGGAAGAAGAGGAGGAATCAGCGCCGGAGGACGAGGACACAGAGGAAGCGGATGCTAATCCGACAAGGCCTTCAAAGACGAGTTCTGAGAGCGCCTGGAGCCAATCCAAGATGTACGCCCGAGCATCGAACACCGTGCATCTCAGTGGGCGCGCGCTCGGGTCTGGACGTCCTGCGATCGCGATGTCAAAACCAACAGGGGGTCCCATCAGACATGGCAGCTGGCTGCGGGAGATGGTCACCCGAGTGCTCACAGAGGCCTCGGGCAAACAGCAGAAGCCGTGGCAGTTGGGCGCCCGAATTATGCGGGGTAACTCGGGTCCGGGGTAACTCGGGTTTGGATTCCCGGAAAAGGAACCCGAGTTAGCCCTGACCCGAGTTATCCCTGATGATTTGGGGCTCTGGACGCCCGAATTATCTGGGATAACTCGGGTCCGGGGTAACTCGGGTTCGGAATCCCGAAAAACGAACCCGAGTTAGCCCTGACCCGACTTACCCCTGATGATTCGGGGCTCTGAGGCAGGGCGCCACCTTGAACGATGCAAGACGGTGTCCTCTGCGCCACGGCGTCAGGGCGGCGCACGCGGCTGCGCAGAGATGAGCCGAGGGCGGCCGCGCAGAGATGAAGCGAAAAACCTGGGCCCCGGCCACGCGCGGCCGGACCTGGCCGCGCTCCCGCCCTCCTCCTCCTCCTCCTCCTCCTCCTCCTCCTCCTCCTCCTCCTCCTCCTCCTCCTGTGTGTCGGCCTGTGCACTCGCGCGGCCGCCTCCACAGCGTCGTATCCTCCTCCTCCTCCTCCTCCTCCTCCTCCTCCTCCTCCTCCTCCTCCTCCTCCTCCCGCGCCGAGCGAAGGCGGTGGCGGTCGCTTCCCAGCGCGTCGAGGACAGCGCCAGCGGAGGAGCCAAGACCTGACCTCCTGGGGCCGCCCCGAGACGTCCGGAGCTGCGGGCAAGCACCCCGGCCCTTCCAGCGGCGCCGCCAGGAGGAGGCGGGCACGGCCGAGGCGAGGAGATGCCCCAACCCTCGATTTGGACGCCCGAAATGGGTACGGAAAGAATGGGCACAATGCCCAACAGCAAATGTTGTCCCAAACCAACAGCGGCCGCTGTTGGGCGGGCGACCTCCTGTCTCGAATGGACACAGGCCGCGGCGGCGCGGACAGCGAGCCCTGTTCAGAATGAACAGGAACTGCTGTTGGGCATCGTACCCATTATTTCCGTGCCCATTTCGGGCGTCCAGACTCGAGCCCGAGCCCAAGACGCCGCAGCAGCTGTCCCGCACCCCGCGCGCAAAACGCCCTCAAGAAGAAAGATGACGTAGGTCTCGGCCTGCGCGGGCCAACCCCTGAGAGAGGTAGTGCTGTTCAGTGCTTCCGCCACTCTGAGGAAATTCACTCTGTTCAGGTCGGGTATGGGAATAAGAAGAAGAGAAGGGGCGGGGTCGGGGGGGCGGGGGGGGGCGAGCCCACGACATGTACAGGGGAGGGGCTGCGCGGGGGCCTCCAGAGCAGCAAAGTTCGCAGGTCAGCACTTCTCGAAGGGATCCCCCACATTCAAGTGGGAGGAACCATGGGCCAATGGGGCCCAAAGCCAGGACCCAAGGACCGAAACCTGTAACTGAAGAGAATGGGAACCCCCTTAAGCGGTGAGGTCTCTAGGCGGTCAACAATGTGGCCGTGCCAAGACTGGCGAATACCTGCGACCGCAGGCGGATAGTGAGGCGCACCTCCCCTTGCCGCGCAGTGGGCCGCGGCCGGCGAGGCGAGGTGCAGCGACAGCTCTGGGCGTTGCCTGCCTTGCACGGTCGCGCGCATCGGGAGACGAATCTGGCCACCACTGGGGCACTGAGCGATCGGCCTCCGCCCATGGCCTGGCCCTCGAAGCTGACTTGTCGTGGATGTCCTCTTTCTGCCGCTAATGTTATGGGTAGAAGGTCTGTGCTCCTTCTGACCCCCACTAGCAAGGGTGATTTTCGCGGACGGGGGTAGAGCGGCGCCATCGCTGATATTCCTGAAACTCTTGCTGAACCGTCGCAGGTGAACCGCTCTCTCGAACAATCGCTGGCGATCTCCTGAAGCTCGTCAACGTACCTCTTGTCATATGTGCAGGCATCTCATAATCAGCGCCACCGACAGCGAAGAGGTAATCCACCCCATGAGACTGCGAACGTCTCTCGAGCCACCAGCCACCTCCTTGAAACTGATGCGCGATGGAGTCTGGAATATGTGACTGTGGTAGCGGTTTGATGGCAAGCTGCCCGATCAAGCTATGTGACTCGTCCTCGGCCTGAAGAAGAATACCGCCGATGTTCTGGACGGCTGGCAACCGCCTATGCGCCCAAACATATCCAATGTCTAAACTTCTATCTCGAACCGCTCCCCCAACAGTCTGATACTCTGTATCGAAACCAGATCTGGGCGTGGCAATTACACATCCGTTATTACAAGGGTTCCTCGACTTCACCTGGGCGCGTAGGTGCTCCAACTGCCTCTTGTCGTCACTCGGACGTCCATTCCCTGTGCATGTGTCGGTGTCGTTTGTTTTGTTGCTCGATGATCCAGGACGCTCCTCGAAGGTCCTCGCCGAAAATGCACCCATCCGAGCGATGTCAAGGCCTTGTGTACTTGAAGACTCCGTGGCGTCTTCAGCCTGCTCTCGAAAGGACGATGATCACCTCCAGCCACTCAGCAGTCACGATGATTTTGGGGTCAGAATCAGGGCGTATGTTGACGTCTGGTTCGGTGCCCCCGAGCACAACAGGACTAGAGAGTAGGACTTCCGCCCATGACTACGGCCAGATAGTAGAGGCCTCCCAGGTTGGGTCGGAGCAGATGGGGTCGGGGGATCCCGCCGCATCGCCGATACATCAGCGTTGTATCGGCGATGTCTCGGCGATGCGCCGCCGATACAACGTCGACGCCGGCGATGCATCGGCGACGTCCACATGAAGCAGATCGGGCTCCACATCGAGCCGCATCGCCGATGCATCGGCGATGCGGCGCGATCCTTCGACCCCGTCTACTCGGACCCCGTCCGGGAGGCCTAGAGACGTGTGTTCTCGGCAATCGTCCTTGGATCCTTCATGCGATCCTGGCCACAATGCCTAAACCATTCCAAACTCTGACAAATCCTCCTTGCAACACGCACACGACGCAACAGGCTCTCGGGAAGACCGGCTTGGCTTCCGCCAGGGCGGCCCAAGCTCCTCCCTCGAGGCGGCGTGGCAGGCTCCTCGAGCTGAGCACTACGCCCTTGCCTCCCGGCCTCTGGCCACACTGAGGCTGCCGTCCGCCAGCTCTCCATCGCTCGCAGCCGGTCGGGGAAGCGGGCGGGATCGCTCGGGGGACCGAGCCACGGCTCGAGATTGCAGTGCGTCGCCCTCAAGCTCGCATCTGCAAGGCTCAGTTGCCTGGGCCCAAGGCGCTTGAACCAAACTAGCTCGAGCCAAGGTGGCTACGGGCGAGGTGGCATGGAACGGAACGGAATGGAACTCCAAAGGAGCCTATTGTCTGAATCCACTCGCAAAGCTACGACAGGCTGCGAGGTGAGATGTAGCAGGGAGGACACGGGAAGAGGAGGAAAGGGGAAGGGAGAGGACGGGATTGGAGGAAGAGGCTGGAAGACAATGAGGATGAGGGGAAGCAGACGGAGAAGAGCGAGGAGGAGCAGAACAATGGGCAAGGGAGCATCACGAGGAGAAGCAGGACTCGAGGAGGAGGGGAGAGATGAGGAGGAGGAGGAGGAGGAGGAGGAGGAGGAGGAGGAGGAGGAGGAGGAGGAGGAGGTGTGAGTGGAGACGGCTGAGGGGGAGGCAGATGACGAGAATATGAATGTGAAGCAAGGCGAAGAGAGACGGAGGAGATGGAACAGATCAGGGAAGAGAACGATGCCCAGGAGTAGAAGAGCACGATGAACAAGGGGGGCGCAAGCCGTCGCCACGCGTGGTCCCGATCGCCCTCTCCTCCGCTCGTCGACCCCCCGCCGCGTCGATTTTTCTCTTGTGACGGCGCGGCCGAAGCGCGGGCGGCGGCAGGGTGGTGGCGGCGGCGATGGTGCGACTCGAGTTGAGGTCAGTACCCATCGGACGGAAGAAGTAGGTAGAAACATGAAGTGGGAAGGCGTTGGAAATAGATCGGGCTTCCGCCCGCCTCCTGAGGAGGAAGGAAGAGGGAGAACCACTCGACACTTGAAGTAGGAAGGTGCTGAAGGTAGATTGTAATCTGGGAATCCCAACGTACCTACTTTCAACGACCGATGGGCACGCCCGAGAGGCCCGACACTCTCCCAGGAGGGCCGCGTCGGGTGCTCGCTGCCCTCTTCGGTGGGCGAAGGCCACGGCAGCAGCGGGGCAGCACTCCCTGCAGGAACGACCGTGGGCCCCTTGCGGCCCCACCGGTCTCCGTGGCGATCTTCGGCGGTCTCCTGCGGCCGCCTTGGGCGCCCGAGTCATCCGGGGTAACTCGGGCCCGGGGCAACTCGGGCTTGGATTCCCGAAAAAGGAACCCGAGTTCGCCCTGACCCGAGTTGCCCCTGATGATGCGGGGCTCTGGGCGCCCGAGTGATCCGGGGTAACTCGGGCCCGGGGCAACTCGGGTTCGGATTCCCGGAAAAACGAACCCGAGTTAGCCCTGACCCGAGTTACCCCTGATGATTCGGGTCTCTGACGGATGTCCCTGGCGGTCTCCCGCGCAAAAGCTGGGCGATCGCGCTCCACGTGGTCGAACGCAGGAAGAGGCAGAAGCAGCGGGCGCCTCAGCAGCAGCGGCAGGAGGGGAGGCTCGCGCGAGTCCCGGCCTGTCGTGGGGTGGCTGGTACACAGGGCTTCGCGAGGTTCCAGCGACCGCCTTTGTGGACAAGGGGGGGAGAGGGCGGGGGGCAGAGATGATAGGAATCCCACCAGCCATTTGGGCGTAGGTGGCTCAAGGTAGCCCAAGAAGGCTCCAGTGGGGACCCGGATAGCCCAGGAAAGCCCCGAAGATCGCAACATGGTTTGTATAGCTTCGAACGTGCCTCCCGGAGGCTCCATGACGGTCTCTCGATGGCTCCTGGTCACGGAGCCTCTCAAGGACCCCCCCCCGAGAGACCAAACTCCTTCAAACGGTTGAGGAGCATCCATGATTGTTTGGCTTCTCACCCTTTCGCTCCTGATGGGCTCCTGAGGCCTCGACATGGTTCAGTCCCAGAAGGGGCCCCCGATGGCCCCAGGAGTGCCCAAGAGTGCCTCAAGATACGACTTTCCGACCTCCGGCGGGGGGGGGTTGTAATTGGTTCCCCCCCTGCTTTGATTGCTGACCTCCAGTTTGGCCCCACGAGCGCACCCAAGGCGCCCAAGAGGCCGCAGTATGGCTCCAGAATGCTCCCAGAGCGTGACTGCATGCTGCTACACAACCCCAATCAAATCAATTCGCCTGGTGATTGCTTGTTTGATGGGCTGGTGGGATACGCGAAACGGAATTCATTTAGAGTTCCGCTTGAAAGACAACTTGGGATGCTACCTTTTGCCACGTGGCAGGTGCTGATTCCTCAGTTTGTCTGTCAGAAGTGCTCGCGGCTGGGAAACAGCGGCTACCAGACGATCGAGGTTGAAACAAACGTCGTGAAAACCACTACTCTTCAGTCGGTTCTCAACAAAAAACGCTCTCATGGGGTCCTTCGACGCCTGAAAGCGAGAAAAGTGTCCTGCCTGAGAGGCTGAGAGGAGCAAACACGGGTGGAGGGTACAGGAACCAAGGTGCTCACGAATCTCCAATCCGGACTCTGAGCTCTCAGGCTTCAACACTCTTGCACTAGATGTATTCTACACTCGAAGGAAGTCATCCAAAGGACTTCATCCCCCTCTCTCGCAAAAGCGCGAGGCTACGCATAAGCGACTGCTTGACCTTGCCTGGGTGCGTCGAGGGGCTGGTCATCAACGCCCCCGATGTGGTGCCGCTTCTGGAACTCGTGCATAAACTCCCGGACAACCTTCGCTCTTCGAGAAAAAATGGAGTAGCGTTTGAAGGAGCGAGGGGGAGAGCGAGAGAAATAGTGAGGACATCTATGGATATACAGAGAGAGATAGAAAGAAAAAGACAAACATAGGAAGACAAGAGAGAGAGAGAAAAACATATATTATACATACTAGATACTAAGAACTGTACATGCATCTGTGTGGATGTATATATACACAGATAAACAGCGAGAGCGAGAGAGAGAGAACGAGAGATCGGGAAGAGCGACGGGATTAGGAAAAGCAGCAGCAACAAGACGAGCACTGTAATGAATGCCAGTAGGGGGAAGGGGGAGGCTGATGGGGATGATGTGCAGATAGGGAAGAAATGAAACATTCATGGAATTGTTAATTCTACCCGTCTATGGGTAGGTGCACCGCTCGCACTATAGCAAAACATCCGTGACACAAATTACCGACTGGGATCAACTCAGGGATCCCTCTTTACAGGAGCCTGGGACCGTCTTCGAGAATGCACATTTGCGAGGGGAGGGGGCTGGCGAGCGGAGGGACTGGCGACTGCAGCGAATCGAGGGCAGACAGAAAATCAAACACATGTGACGTTCGTTTTTATGAAATGCGACCTTGATCAACATGCTGGCGGACTAACTGCTAATAGTGGCAAATGGTGGCACACAGCGGCAAGCGGTTTGCGGCAAGTCGCGGCACGCGACACTCACCAACCGTCCGCCAATCACCCCCTGTTCGCCGCTAATGGCCGCTACATGCACATAAGAACAACTTTCAGTGAAATTCGAGGCTTCGGTTATGGGGATCGCGTATACAAATGCACTGATCTGGGCCCTGTCCCGTTGGGCTCCGTAGAAACGCCAACAGGGCAACGCTCAGAGTATGATCTGGCCAGCTCTCTCTGGGCGCCAGGCGTTGAACAGAAACATATACACGGTGTTTGGGCCGCCATTTGCCACAAGGTGGTGGACAAAGACAGCATAGTATGATGGACATATTCGTGGCCCCGACATTGAAACAAGCACAGCCTGTGGTGCCATCCATGTGGCACTCGAGCTTACACCCTGGCTGCCAGGGATAACCCCGACCAGCGCGACAGGCCACAAAGATGGGCTCCTGGGGGGCCCTGCTGGGCTCTGGCAGCATGCGAGCCGCCCAGCGCTGAACGACCTCGTCTCTGAGGTCCCCAGCGGCTGTCAACACCTGCATTTCGCATGGGCGACGAAAAGAAACGGGTCTTACGCACGATGACATTCGGGGATGGACAGACCTCCCTTTAGTAAAACGTGGTTTAGCGAGAACGACCTGAGGCCCAAAGCTGGCGGGCGCAAGCCTGGAAAATAACGGCCACGGCGCCCTCTCGAGAACCGAGAACGGACAATTCACTAATCGACGTGTCACTGTTGGGGGTTCTGTCCGCCCCCGAGACATAGCCACCCTACGCCGCGGCCTCCTCGGGCCGCCCGCGCGGCACGTCACCCTGGAGGCGAGGGCGCGGACGCACGACCGCACGGCTTTCTGCACCCACCATCGGCGCAGACGGCCCCCGCTCTCCGCCGCCGCACGTGCGGATGTCGCGCCGTGGGCTCTCGGGCTCTCTCTTTCTCGTGGGCCCCCCCGCCCCGAAGCGGGCCCCTGGAGCGCTGGCGTCGCCGCCGCGCTGAGGCGGCGCGAACCTGCCGCAGGAACACAGCAACGAGCTGCAGAAGCGTGCAGCTGCGGGGGCCCGCGCGGCATACTCTGCCTCGGTGCTACTCGGTAGCCTGCACCTCTAACTCGCGCCCCCCTACCGTGGTGTCGGGCAGAGGGGGATCTCCGCGGCGCACCCCAAAGCGCTCCACGTCCCAGCCCGATGCCCCGTGCTCGTGGGCCAGAACGGGAGGCGACGACGGCGACGGCAGCGGGGACGGCGATTTCCGCCGCGGCGGCGGCGGCGATGATGACCTTCACCGCGTCCTCAGTCTGGTGGTTGTACATCGTCACGCGGATGGCGTCGGATGGAAGCCCCAAGGGGTGCGAGCGGATATCCAGCCATCCGAGCTCGTCGTTGGCCTCCCCTTGCCCCCCCCCCTGCCATAATTCCCCCCCCCCCCCTCCCCTCTTCTCTTCGCCTATCCCCCTCTTTCCCATGCCCACCCTCCCCCCTCAGGGCCCTCCTCATCCTACGTCCTCCTCCTGCTCCTGCAATGCCCAGCCACCTGGGGACCGCCAGGAAAAATCCACATCCACAGCTGCTCTAGTCCGGCCCTGGACCCATAGGGAATGGGGAATGGTGTATACGATGGAAACGGTTCCAGCCAGCCCTCGGGGACGGACAACTTTCGGGTAGATATACCCATCCACAACGCCCACCACTCCTCGAGAGGTCCTCGAGATACCAGGGCACGACTCCCAGTCGGGAAAGATGCTGTGCGCTGGCGGTGGACATCGGTACCCAGACCTCACCTCATTGCCCATCCTGGTGCTGAGTCTGGCCGCGGCCGCAAGAGCCTGCGGGAACGCTGAACCACCTCCGAAACAAAAACGGCGACGTCGTTCACGTCGTTGGGGGAAGAGCCGCGCCAGCAGCAACGTCCCGCTCCCTTCCCCCTGTAGCCTTCCGGAACTCCCAGAGGCCTCCTGGAGCCTCCTCGGGCGAGTGCCAATGGAGAGTGACCCAAATGGGGGGGGAAGGAAAGGGCCCCAAATGAGCCCGTCTGGGCTACCCCTCATTTGAGATACCCTCAGGAGCACCCGTCCAAGCCTCCGCAGAAATCCGTCCTCCTGGCATCACCTGTCTGGACAGTTCTAGCGCCGAAGCCCGCTCCTGCTGCTGCTGCTCCTCCTCCCGGACGCCCTAAATCTGGGGGGATGCCTGTGCCTAGCACTGAGACCCGGTACTGTTCATCCTCATCCATCCTCATTCCTCCCCCCTCCTCCCTCCTCAACCTCCTCCCTTTCCTCCCTCCTCCCTCCGCCCTCCATCTCCTCCTCCTCCTCCTCCTCCTCCTCCTCGACATTCCTCCCCCCCCAGGAGGCCTCCGACAGAAACTTCTCCACCAATTCGTGGTCCTCGCCAGCGCCCGACCCGATCGTGAAGACCACCTCGCGCGCTGAGGCTGCCCCGACGCCGCCCTTGTCGTCGTCGTCGCCTCCCTTCCGCGGTCCTCTCCTCCGCCTCCTAAACCTTCCATCCCCCCTCTTCCTCCTCCTCCTCCTCCTCCTCCTCCTCCTCCTCCTCCTCCTCCTCCTCTCCTCCTCCTCCTCCTCCTCTTCTCCTCCTCCTCCTTCCTCCCTCCTCCTCCTCCTCCTCCTCCTCCTCCCCCCCCCTGCTTCTCCTAGTCCTCATGCGCCTCCCGCCCCCCTCCTTCACAGCCCTATTATCCTACTGGGGGTTCTCCGCCCCCCACCGTCGCACTCCTCCTCCACCTCGCCCCTTCCCCCAATTATCTCCAGCCTCCTCCGCTACTACCGTCTCTCTGGCGTATTAGTTTTCATATGCAGGATTAAAGTGTGTGGTTGGGTGTGTGTGTGTGTGTGTGTGTTTTGTTTTATGTTTTGGTTTCGACCAGAACTTCCTCGACCCTTCAGGAATGGTACTCCCAATGCAGCGGTGGCCACATTTCACACTCGGTGCTTCGCTGTCGCCGTTCAGAGCCTCTCGGATACTCTTGTACTCGATGGTGACACCTTATGTAGCACCCCGCAGTTGAGAGTAAGAGTGAAGGGGGGGGTGGGTCGTCGGCAGATTGCGAGGCTCTGGAGAAGCTCGCCACAAGCGCCGATGTTTTCACAAACCATCAGGGTGAGGGGGCCGAGCGGTCATTCCCTGTCCCTGGGTGCGGCGTGGCTGAAGTTGGCCTCCGCGGCGCGGATTATGCTTGTTGTTGCGTTGCGTCGTTGTTATTGTTGTTGTTGAGCTCTCAGATACTGAAGACTAACTATTGCTGATCCCCCTCCGGTGACCATTGTATTTCTTCAATTGAAGTGCTTCCCCCGGGGCTCGCACCGCTTTTTATATAAAAAACAATGAAAAACCCGAGATTTAAAGTGTGTCGTTGGCCCCCGGTCTACAACAACAGCGGCTCCCACCTGATACATCCTCGCAATGTATTCCCAAATCGCGCTCTCGCGCGGGACTTCCTCCGAAGTTGTATACGAGTCGCGCTCTCGCGTGGGAGTTCCTCGCAATTTATTCAGGCGATGCGCCCTCGGCGCTCAGGAATCACGCTCTCGTTTTGGCTTGTCTCACGATTTACTTGGGAATCTCGTTATCGCTCGAGACTTCCTCGCGATTCATGCAGGACCCGCGCTTCAGCGCCCCGCCTTCTCGACCTCGTCGCCTGAGCCCGCCTTCCCGACCTGCCCGCTATGGGTCCGCCCACCCGATCTGCCCGTCTGGTTCTACCACTTGTTTTCTGCTCCTTGCCCCCCTCGTGCTAATTTCTCTCGCGCTCCATTGTTATCCCTCCCCCTTCCACCAGTTTTCTCTTCCCTTGCTTGAGGGCCTGCACTACATGCACGTGGCAATGAGGAAGGTATGCCCCCAAGGGGGTACGATCGAAGACGACGAGGGCGGGTACAGAGGGCTTGCCATATACGAATTGATTGGCACGAGGGCAGATCGGAGCGAACAATCGGAAAATTACAGTTGCTGTTGTTATTGCTGCTGTTGTTGTTGGTTGTGTTTGTTGTTTGTTGTCGTTGTTCCACCCGTGACCCGTGCCCGCGACCCGCCCGCGACCCAGCCGCGACCCAGCCGCGACCCACCCGCGGCCCACCCGCAACCCAACCCACGACCTGGCCGCGAACCACCCGCGATCCACCCGCGACCTGGCCGCGACCCACCCGCGACCCACCCGCACCCCACACCGCGACCCGCCCGCGATCCACCCGCGACCCACTCGTGACCCATGAGCGACCCGGCCCGCGACCGACCCGAGACCCACCCATGACCCACCCGCGATGCTTGAACGAGAAAATCGGCGGTGGTATGGCTGATGAAAATTAAGCGCTTGCGGCGGACTTCTTCGGAGCCTCGCAGACTGCCGACGTCTCCGCCGCCCCCTCACGCTCATCTTCGGATGCGGTTTCCTATGGTACAACGAGCCGGCCACGCCGGACCCGCCGCAGGCGCCGAGTTTTCAACAGGCGCCAGCTTTCTCGTCAGAGAAAATGGGTGGGTCGCGTGTGGGTCGCGGGGTGGTTCGCGAATGGGTCGCGGACGGGTCGCGGGGTGGGTCGCGGGTGGATCGCGGATGGGTCGCGGGTGGGTCGCGGAATGGGTTGCGGGTAGGCCGCGGGTGGGCCGCGGGTTGGTCGCAGGTGGGTCGCGGCCGGGTCGCGGGAGGGTCGCTGCCCGGGTCACGGTTGGAACAACGACATTAAACAACAGACACAACCAACAACAGCAACAACAGCAACAACAACACCACCACCACCACCACCATCAACAACAACAACCGCACCACCACCACCAACAACAACAATAATGTTAAGACTGTTCACCCTTATATGTTCGAGTGTCCAATAACGCGTATTTCCCAAACCCTCGATTCCCGCCCTCTTCGTCTTCGATCGAACCTCTTTTGGGGGGTATACCTTTCTTCCCTGCAGGCCTGGCCCCGGCAAGCGGCGGGGCGGCCGCGGACCGTCGGCCTGGCCAGCGGCAACGCTGATCGGCGGGGCGGCCGCGGACCGTCGACCCGACACCAAGAGGGACGGACAGGGGACCGACCACGACGACGACGACGACGACGACGACGACGACGACGACGACGACGACGACGTCGAAGACGACGGCGACGACGAGCGAAAGCGAAAGAAAACGACAGCAGGGCCACGAAGGGCACGAAGTAGGCTACGAAGGGCGACAGCGGGGACACGAAGGGAATGCGTATGGGGCCACGAAGAGCGCGAACGAGCGGGGGCCACGAAGTGCAGATAATGCGGGGCCACAGATGGCAACTATGGGGCCACTGGGGGTAGCAACTGGGCCACGTAGGACACTGAGGGGCACACACATGGCGACAGCGGGGCCACGAAGGGCATGCACATGGGGCCACAACGGGCGCGACTCCTGGGTGCCTGGGTGTCGGGAGCGCGGCGCTCGGGTAAATTTCAAATTATCCCGGCAAAGCAACCTAACAGCGATGTGTAGGAGCAGATCTGGAAGCATTCCCCTTAAGATTCGGATGAGAATCCAGTTGTAGAATTCTGCTGTTCTCGCAGTCGTAGTCGCATTCGCGATGACAGTCGCAGTGGCAACGGCAGTCGCAGTCACAGCCTCAGCCTCAGCCTGCCTCAGCCTCAGCCTCAGCCTCAGCCTCAGCCTCAGCCTGCCTCCTCAGCCTCAGCCTCAGCCTCAGCCTGCCTCAGCCTCAGCCTCAGCCTGCTTCAGCCTCAGCCTCAGTCTGCCTTCAGCCTCGGCCTCAGCCTCAGCCTGCCTCAGCCTCAGCCTGCTCAGCCTCAGCCTCAGCCTCAGCCTGCCTCAGCATCAGCCCTCAGCCTCAGCCTCAGCCTGCCTCAGCCTCAGCCTCAGCCTCAGCCTCAGCCTCAGCCTCAGCCTCAGCCTGCATCAGCCTCAGCCTCCTCAGCCTCAGCCTCCTCAGCCTCAGCCTCAGCCTCAGCCTCAGCCTCAGCCTCAGCCTCAGCCTCAGCCTCAGTCTCAGCCTTCAGCCTCAGCCTCAGCCTCAGCCTCAGCCTCAGCCTCAGCCTCAGCCTCAGCCTCAGCCTGCCTCAGCCTCAGCCTGCTTCAGCCTCAGCCTCAGTCTGCCTTCAGCCTCGGCCTCAGCCTCAGCCTGCCTCAGCCTCAGCCTGCCTCAGCCTCAGCTCAGCCTGTCTCAGCATTCAAAATGTGGCCCGGGAATGGAATTCTGGGAACTCGAAGAACACGAAGTGGCCTACAGTTGGCTCCGGGCATTCAAAATCATGCCCAGGAATGGAGTTCTGGGAATTCGAAGACCACGAAGTGGCCTACAGTTGGCTCCGGGCATCCAAAATGTGGCCGGGGAATGGAGTTCTGGGAAATCGAAGAGCACGAAGTGGCCTACAGTTGGCTCCGGGCATCCAAAATGTGGCCCGGGAATGGAGTTCTGGGAACTCGAAGAGCACGAAATGGCCTACAGTTGGCTCCGGGCATCCAAAATGTGGCCCGGGAATGGAGTTCTGGGAGGTCGAAGAGCACGAAGTGTTTGACTGTTGACGAAAAACGAGCCCGGCTCTGTTCCCGGTTCTCCAGAATGTGGCCCAGGAATGGAGTTCTGGGAGGTCGAAGAGCACGAAGTGTGTGACTGTTGGCGAAAAGCGATTCCCGGTTCTCCTCCCCGGCACCCGCCCAGACCCCCCTGAGGAGTCAGGATGCTCTCTTTTGACCCTACTAGAAACCTATCAGCAAAAGCTTTTTTTTATATATAAAAAAAAAAAAAACTTCAACGCAAGGCCATTCTTCAGTAAGCTGCAAGCAAATCTCCAGCGAGAGCGCGACTCCAGAGCGCTGGCAGAGCGATTCCTGATTAAATTGTAAGGAAGTCCCAAGCGAGAGCGCGATTCCTCAATAAAATGCGAAGAAGTCTCGGGCGGGAGCGGGGGTCCTGGCTAAATTGTAAGGAAGTCTCCGGCGAGAACCGTTCTTGTTGTAACCCGGGGGCCACGGGCACAGTTTGAGCATCAAGACTTTCCCTGCCAAAAAACAGGGTGCGAGCGTCGAAGGGCACACTTTGATTGAGAAAAAAACAGTATGCACCGGTGGGGGGATCAACAATAATTATTCTTCAGAAGTGCGAATTCAACAACAACAACAACCAACAACAACAACACCAACAACAACAACAACAGCAACAACATCAACAACAACAACAACAACAACAACAACAATTACTAGCACGTGGGGACACTCCGTTCTCACCAGTGCCAGGGTTTTCATACGACGCCCGCCAATACCCCCACTTTGTGGGGGGGCCGGTTCAAGCTCTACCACATTTCCAAACGACTCTTCGCCACCACCCACACCCAGCTTCCCGCCCTATGACGTTCGGACACGTCACTTCGTGGCCTGCGGACGACCGTGGCTACTACACTGGCGCATGGGTACACTGGCGCATGGG